CGGGGGTCCTGCCAACTCCTGGTCCTCTTCCGTGGGGGATCCTGCCGAGGCCTGTCCCACCAGCGCCGGTTCCTGTCCGGCCGACACCGGGTTCTGCCCGGCCTCCTGAGAGCCGCGGTCTTCGCCCTCGAGCCCTGCCCCCTGAGTGCCGCGGTCCTTGCCCTCGGGCCCGGCCCCCTGACTCTTCCTGCCACTGCCTTCGCCCCTCCATAACCCCCTTTTCAAGCTGTGCCTTGCCCCTGGGCTGTCAGCCCAAGCCCGTCCTCCAGACCCCCTCCACCCACCCTGTTGGCCCTAGTTTTGTGTCCCTCCTCCGGTCCCCCTCCACCCACCCTGGTGGCCTAGTGATACGATCATTTTAAACAGACCGTTCAACAAAAGGATACCCACAATCTAAATATTGGATTGTTCTTTCTTAGTAAGATCCAATTTTCATTACAATTGTGGTCTTACCTTGACTTGAAGATGAAGTCCATGCTATCCTTCTGGACAACAATCTATTACTTTTTTGTAAAAGTCCTCCTTATCTTCCTCTAGCTTCAAAAGTCTAGTTTGTTGTTTGCGTCTACTGTCTCTGCGTAGAATAACAGTAGCAACAAGGACCTGTGGGCTCACGTGCGCCCCCTTCAGTGCGGCAGAGGTTATGGCTGCCTCCCATGGTGCTTTTTTCATTGCCGTTGTACGGCGAGCCTAAATATCATATATACATTAAATAAGTTATTTAGAGACTATGGATGGCGAGGATAAATGTAATAAAGGGATCTACAAACATTACATTGGTGATCTACAGTGAGATGGTAACAGGCATGCGCTTAGGGCCCGCTTTCCAGCCAGTTTCTGTGGGGTGACGTATTTTGAGGTGAGGCAGATCTCATCTGTGCCTCACCTCACCCCACAGTAACTGGCTGGAGAGCGCTCACAAAATAAGTGCCCGCGCTAAATTAGTGCCCGCGCTCCAGCCAGTTACTGTGGGCTTACGTGAGGCAGAGCTCGTCCCTGCCTCACTTCTCATCGCTACCCGTAGTTGTAGCGGAGCTCGACAAATTTGCTGATTTTGACTATAAAAAGTGATTGGAATCATACATTTAAATCACATTTACAACACAGATCAGTGGAGACATTTTATTATTACTATTTAGTTTTTCTTTAGTTGTTTTTCCGTTACATTGTAGTATATGACCAGTCTATGAGTATGACAGGTGAGGCTCTGCCTCCCCTGACAACACATCCTCACTCCCAGGTCGGCCTATGTTGACGTTATGTCAAGTCCCCTGTCGGCTTTTTCCAACGCAAGGGGGGGGGCCTTAGCGTCCATTTTCAACGCAAGGGGGGGGCCCTTAGCGTCCATTTTCAGCTTTCCGGGATGTCCATATGCTTCTATAGACGCTCATGGAAGCACGGCATTCGTTTGTGTCGGCTGCCCTTAAAGGCAATGTGAGCGTCCATTCTCATTGGATAACGGAGAATTGTACACCCGGAAGTAAGTATTCCCCTTACTGTCGATTGGTTTTACAGTGATATCTGCACTACTCATCGACTAAAAAACACCAGATTATCCTTGTTAATTACACAACATTGATTGGTTTAAATTGTGTGCAATGCTTTTGTATTTTTCCCCTTCGATTCGGAGAAACAAATATGTTTTCGGAGTAAAGGATGGCAGAAGACACTACACTACCCAGAATCCCCAGCTATCGTTTGGACTACACCATGTGCTCTGTTTGACGTCACGTGATCTTCAAATTTCTCCCTGAAGAAAAAAAAAACATGGCCGAACTTCGTTTTATTCTCGATGGAAAATGCCTATTTTAAAGTTAGTTTGGCCATTAAAATGCGTTTTGATGTCATTTGATGCGAGAAATATGAGTTGTTATTTCAGATTGTGTGCAGTGGATGTACATGATCTTTAGTTTGCTAGTTATTACGAAGATTACTTCAGGAAATTGCGTCCATAACGTTTTCATTGTTACCAAGGTGGTTGCTAGGGACGCTGCTATCGATATTATTTCTGTTATGTTGTGTAACTGTTTAATGGTGTTATCTTTATTGCTACCCCCTTCCCCGTCAAGGTATAGTGTTGGTCCACAGCGAAAACATATTAGTTTAACAAAATCCGCATCTAAAGATAGCCTACGTTATTTTCCCATGTGCAATTCCAGTCTCACATCTCACAGCACATCGTCATTAACAAATAACGGAAACAGACCGAAAACATTGAAAAAATATACAATAATACTTTATTCCGAGTGTGCTTGCTTTTCTCTTTGGAAGTCATCACATAACGGCATTGTAATACACGGTTCGGCTGCATTAAATATGACATATCTGCCGTAGTTCTGTATTTATAGAGCCCTGATGAGAAGACTTCTAGACAAACATGAGGAACTGAAAACGTGACGTGGATCATAAATATATCAGCCATTAAACAACATCTTACATTTCTTTTCACACAATACGTCTCCTTGCAGTATCAACACTAATTCGGCTGACTTTTATATTTGATCCAATTGGTAGATAGGCTATATTTACACCATAAAGGTGCACACCTAATATAAAGGGACACCTAGTGGTTAAAGCATGTTATTGAATTTCATTATTTGTATCATTAGATATTAATAGGATCCCTATAAAGTATATGAATTACTCGTTATTCTCTACTAATAGTTCATTAAAGACTGTATATAATGACTATTTTGCACATCCCTTTCAAGATTTCAAGATTTTCTAAGGTTTATTGACATATCATATAGGCCTACACAACTATGGTGTAGTTATGCATTGAATGAAAAACTTGGGTCGCAGGTTCCTCAATAGTGCATTACAAGACATCTATCAATATTTGTGCATACCTCCAGCAATGTTAACTATGTTGAAGCACTTATTTTAACTGATATTCTACATAATGTATTATACTCTTATAAGATGTATGTAGATATTTCATCTCCGACCTTGTCAGGTATTGAACAATCAATAAATAAAGAACACAGAATTGTTGAATATAAAACACAGAATTTGTGTGATTATACTAAATTATTTACAAATAAACACCACTGCATATTTAACTGTTACACATGCTGATGTAACGCAAATGTTCCAACTTGAGATCAATAAAGTATATCTTATCTTAAGCTGATCGATGGCTATACTGCCATATTTGCAAAATGTGCCTCTGAACCTTAACAAGTGCATGTTTCAGGCTTATCAATTAATGTAATGTAATGTAATGTTATCAATTAACAACAGGGGTCACAAACATAAGACCAGCTGTTAAATAAAGCTCTTCTGACCTTAGCTGGCAGGTGTGTATATATATATTAATGCTGCCCATTATGGGCACAAGCAATTTTCACCCATTTATTAATTATATGTTTTAAATGTGAGTGTTTCCTATCCCCTAAACCTCCAGGGATGTACACAGTTTAATACTGGCAACTTCTTATTATGGGAAATACGGAAACGTCTTTTAAAACTACAACTCCCAGTAGAGACGTGCCATAGATACAGAACATGTTGCGAAACAGAATAGCCAGCATTTGTAGTTCTGGGGACGGGGTGGGGGAGGGGGGACGCGGTGGACCCGTTCAAATCCAGTTTTGGACAGTCTGCGTGGTTCCATCCCATTTCAAGTGCTGTTCGAGGCTCGGCGTAACCCTCGGAGCACACTCTCCAATCACAGAGCTTGAGGACTATCACGGGGTTTGTCAAACAGAGCACATGGTGTAGTCCAAACGATAGCTGGGGATTCTGGGTAGTGTAGTGTCTTCTGCCATCCTTTACTCCGAAAAAACATTTGTTTCTCCGAAACGAAGGGGAAAAATACAAAAGCATTGCACACAATTTAAACCAATCAATGTTGTGTAATTAACAAGGATAATCTGGTGTTTTTTAGTCCATGAGTAGTGCAGATATCACTGTAAAATCAATCGACAGTAAGGGGAATACTTACTTTCGGGTGTACAATTCTCCGTTATCCAATGAGAATGGACGCTCACATTGCCTTTAAGGGCAGTCGACACAAACGAACGCCGTGCTTCCATGAGCGTCCATAGAAGCATATGGACATCCCGGAAAGCTGAAAATGGACGCTAAGGCCCCCCCCCTTGCGTTGAAAATGGACGCTAAGGCCCCCCCCCTTGCGTTGGAAAAAGCCGACAGGGGACTTGACATAACGTCAATATAGGCCGACCTGGGAGTGAGGATGTGTTGCCCCTGACTGCACGTCGCTGATTTTGAGCAAAACACTTCATAGATATGTTTTTTATATATTTTGATATATCTGAGACCTATGCTATTGCCTAAAAATAGCATGATAGGTGACCTTTAAACGTTTCTGGTTCCATGTTGCCTATCAATTTTGGTTCTTAAAGAGGGTAAATATAGGTCATATGCCAATTTCACGCCAAAAAAACAACAATTTAAGAAAATCTTAAGTCAAAATCATATTTTAAAATCACTTCATACAGTATTTTCTTTTTTATAAAACTATTTTTAAATAATCTCTGCATTGTTTTACATGCAAAAGTTAGTTCTAACACACTGTCAATATCTGTTTGTGTTTCCTGTTTTATAATTGATATGAATGTGTTCACCTCTCGTGTTGTGTCTGTTTTTACTTCCTGTCTCTATTGTCCCACCTGTTTGATTACCTGATTGTGTTTATTTGATGCCTCTGTGTTTTAGACCAGCTGTGTCTTGTCCTTGTGATTAGTCATAAATGTTTTTTAATTTCTGGTTTTCTGTCAGGTGATGTGGGATTCTTGATGTTTGATGTTATTTTTTGCCTTGCCCAGCTCTTTTATTTCCTGGACAGCTTGCAATAAAGGTTTCTTCATAGAGTTACTTTGGCGCCCTGCACTTGGGTCCTCTCTGCTCTGCTCTCCAGCCGTGACACACACACTGCTTTGACATCACACCCATTAGTTTCTGCAAGCTTCTTTAAATTCAAAGAGAGTGTAACGTGTAGTCCTTCTCCTGACAGCTCCCTGCCTCTTGCTTTGCAGGAGAAAGGCCTGGAGAGCTCTCTGCAGAACACCCAGCGGCTGTACTCCAGCCAGCTGCAGGACCTCTCCCAGGTGATCGCTGGGCTGGAGAGTGAGCTGGAGCAGGTGAGGAGCGGCCTCGCCACCCAGCGTCAGCGCCACAGCCAGCTCCTCAACACCAAGATGAGGCTGGAGCGAGAGATTTCCACTTACAGACGTCTGCTGGAGCGGGAGGAGGGCAGGTGAGGGCAGAGAGGAAGAACAAGGAATGTTGGAGGAAGCCGGAAGGAATAGTGGGAATTTTGTGGATTTGTGTCAACCAGGAAATAATAAATACTGCAGTTGAAATGGGGTTTCCCCTGCACAATGAAGCAGCTTCCTCCTCAAAAACTGTGAAAAGGATCAGTGCAAAGGAAAATAGATAGCACAAACATTTTCAAAAGGAAATAGCAAAGTCCCACGCACACACTTAACTGATGTAAGAAAAAATACTTAAATAATAAACAAAATCATGTAACAGTTTTGGAGATATAGCAGCAAGGTATATATTGCACAGCTATTAACGGCATATATAGCATATAGCAGATAATTGGTATTTCACAACAAGGGGTGTTATAGCATAGTCTGTGTTGTTGTGTGTGTGTGTGGGGGGGGTCTACCAGGGGCTTTGCTGGTTGTATAGTCTGACCGCTGCAGGAAGGAAGGACCTGCGGTATCTCTCTCTCTCTCTCTCTCTCTCTCTCTCTCTCTCTCTCTCTCTCTCTCTCTCTCTCTCTCTCTCTCTCTCTCTCTCTCTCTCTCTCTCTCTCCGTGAGACAGCGGGGGTGCAGCAGCCTGTCACTGAAGGAGCTGCTGCACAGTTACCTCATTCACACCAACAGTGTTTCAGGGCCGGTTCGGAGCTGGAGCTTGAAAAGCACCAGGTTTTCCTGTTCACACCGCAGCGGAGCAGCCTCTTAGCTCCGGAATCCGGTTTGTTTCAAGCACCAAACATTTTTCCGGCTAGAGCAAAAGCACCGCATACGTCACGCTTACGTCGAGGCGGGGGCAGGGGCGGGATCAACTCTTGAACAACAACAAAAAGCTGGCGTTTTATCCAGTTTGTACACAACGATGGAGAAACTTAACAAGCAGCAGTGGTCCACTGAAGAGACCAGCTACCTACTGGGAATCTGGTCTTCCGAAGAGGTACAGAGGAAGCTGGAGCACAATCGGCCATTGTTGTTGTTGTCGGTGTGCAACACGTTCTATTTCGTATATGGCTTCGCCCTCTAAGGCTATCGCTATTGGGTAATCCCCCTGCGCCCCCGCGCAGCACTGAAAACTTGTAGTCCACGCCCACCTGCAAGGTGGGCCCCACCCTCGGGCCTCCAACCGGTATAAATAGGAAGGAGGCCCGGCAATCTGCTCCCTCTTTTCTTTAGCAAACCAGCACAGTTACTGAAGCACAGCAATTGAGAATCATCATGAGCAACAACTGCGTCTGTGATTGTCCCTCATGTGGCTCTGGGTTCATATTTCATAATGAGATATGACCAGCAGAGATAAAAGCAGTATGCGAATCCTGCGGCCGAACATGCTTTCCCCCTCTCCGTCATCACAGCGCGGCGGCGAATAACATCGCGCTGCTCTCCAACTCGGTGGTGACACTGGTAGAGCAGTCCACCACCGAGGCAGAGGAAATCAGCAAGGCGGCCAGCACGGCGCTCATTCTATGCGCGTCCGTCGCTGTCTCCCAATCGAGGATTTCCGCGTGGGTGACACAGATCCAGCGCCACCTCTGGCGGAAGCAGGCGTCTGTTACGGAGACGGCCAGAAAAGTGCTACTGGACGCTCCAATCAGCCCGGACGGGCTGTTCGGACCCCAGTTCCACGCCATGGTGGAGTCCATGAAGACGGCCGCGGAACAGGCGGACGGCATTCGCCAGCATGTACAGCTGGCTTCAGCCGGCTGAGCGCCCACAGCGGCACCAACGCCCGCAGCAGCTGTGGCGTCCACGCCGGCCACAGGAGGCCGCAAGCGGAGAGACGCCCACAGCAACCGCCTCGGCATCAGACTCGCCCTTCGGCAGCTGCAGGGGCTCCGTCCCACGTCTCCGCTCCTCCACCACCCCAGAGACAGGGTCTCCCGGCGGCGAGTCAAAGGGGAGTGAGGCTCCCCCGCTCCTGGTCTGCTCCGCGAGTGTAACGGAAACTTCTGTGTAGCTATGCAGTGGGAGTCACCGACTCAGGAAGGAGACACGGGAAGAGCAGTAGCTTTGATGTCAAACACATGATGGTTTATTTGGAGTTAACGGCCGGAGGATTCACATCACAAGTCCAAGAGTCAGAGGTTCTGACTTCACGGTAGAGTTGCCACGTCAATTCTGGAGAGCCTCTCTCTTGCCAGCCCATCTAACTGGTTTCGCAGAGAGTAAACAACATATTTGAGGAGATAGCCTAAACAGTGTGGGAACACAGAGCTACTTGCCTCGGACACTTATGACCTCGAAGATTTTACCTTGGAGTCCACAAATACAGAGAAGGAAGTGTCCCAGTGTACCCACAACACAGACCATCTGTATCCCAGTATTGACCGGTCACAGAATGGGAACAATAACATTATTGGCTAAGCCGCCTGTGTCCTTAAAGAAGGTAAACAGACATCAAGGTTTGTCCTGTATGTTACTAATTGGCGTCTTATGATAATTATTTCCACAACAGTCCTCTCTTTTTATCATTTATGATAACCTAAAAACATTAGTCTAATAATAATTTGGTCAATAATTAACTCAATAGGCGTCTCCAGATTCGAGTGTGGTCTCACCTTACATTAATTACATCACAAAGTAGAATAAGATTGAAACATTCAATCACAATGATTGATACAGCCAATCATAATAGGAAAAATCATCTCTCATCAGTGTTTGATCATCTTTTGTCAAAAGCATAATAATGAACACACATAAAACACAGGTGCACAATGGCTAAATATTTGTTTTTAAACTAATATATTTTATCATTTACCATTAGTTAATTTCATTCATCAAACTATAAAATCAAAACCAGCTTGCCGCTTTAAAGATTTACTTCAAGGCAATCACTAGTCAAAAGCATTTTAAAACTCAGGATCGTAAGAGATCCAGCTACAAATGTACAGTTAGAGTATAGAATTCACAATGGTGATTTGATCAATCTGTAATCTGCAAAAGTGCAGTGTCCTCAATTTTAGGATTACTTTTACCGTTTACTCAAATACGCTTTAGTCAAGAGTAAGGCACTTAGTGAAATCAATACATTCATTTTAGTCAAGTACATTGTTCAAAATCTGAAAAGGAAAAGTTAGGCAAATATTCAAAGACTTTTGTAAAAACCTGGAAAGGAAGGATTAAACATTCTTAAACCTTGAATTATTACATTTGTAAATGCTACCACTGATCTGTACCAAATTAAGTCTATCAAGTATTCCTATTAGCCATACTTACCTGAGCTACTTATGGTACTTGGAAAGGATTCTTCTGTGTTTATCTAATGTTGAGAATATCAATTTCTTTAAATTATACTTCTCTAATTTGAGGATCAAATATGCTACATAATTGTTATATGAAATATTATAAATATTTGTTTTGGGCCAAAACTGAAATTAATCCAGTACTTGAAACATCATTGTAGGTCTTTCTGTGCATGGATAATACATTAAAGAGTAGTGTTGTTAAGCCTGATTGCTGGATTCAAATCCACTAGAGTGCATGTACCTATCCAGAGGGGAGCCAGAACTTGATAGAGCTTGTCGCCGCACAACCAAACGTAATCTTGTGGCGAGCTAAACCCCACATCACTGGGCCAGGCCAGTTGTATTGCTCACGGTTGCGTTGTCCCAGGCGAGCCGTCATCACGAGGTGGGAATGCTCCATGGGGTGTGTGTGTGTATTCCTTCGGTCGATTTTGTGACACGGACAGTCAGACTCCGCACACCGGTAACACAAACGAGGAACCAGAGAGCATATGGAACCGCTCAGCTGGCACTTGCCTGTGACACCTTGTGTGTAGTGTGTTTTGTTGTATGTAGTGCAAGTGTGGTGCAAGTTGGTGATTAGGACACATCACTTGTTGTCATCTACTTCTGTTGGTGATTAGGACACATCACTTGTTGTCATCTACTTCTGTTGGTGATTAGGACACATCACTTGTTGTCATCTACTTTTGTTGGTGACTAGGACACGTCACTTGTTGTCTTCTGCTTCTACCGTTTCTCCTTTCCTGTGACTACGACCTTGCAGTGTCTGGCGTGGACCCACGTAGCTCTCTCTCTGACCCTTGGCCTTCAGAGCTGTCCTACTGTAGTTATTGGGTTAACACTTGATAGGGATGTTTTCCTGAGTGCAGACAACTCAAGGTAATGGATTAGCACATTATCATTTAAATACAAAAATAGGATAGGCCCCCTCAGAATTATTTGGGAGCCTTCCTGAGACATGCACATGCATAAATGTAAGGTTTGTGTTAGTCATTTAACATGCAAGAATCATATACTCATCAGTCCAAAGTAGAGAAATGTTATTGTAATTTAAAGGTGAGCTAGTCCCTGCGGATATCACCCCTTCTCAATGATTCTAAATGTTATATTAATTCACCATTTACCGTTTGATAACATATTAGTTTATCAGAAATATTTTCCTCTTCCATAAAACAGGTTTGAGAAATAAATGTTCCAATATAAAATCAATTACTCAATATAATTGACTCTTCCCTCCCTTTTCTTACATATGTCTCATATGAAATAATAACTTAGGAGTCTATTTAAGCATGGTGTAATCTATTACTCGAGAAGAGTCAGTATCACCTGTGTGCAGCTTACAAAAAAACAAACAATTGTGAGAAACATATATTATGCAGGAACTGTATACCTTTGTTGAAAAACAAAGCATATCTGATTTGGGAGGAAAAGCTTCTTCCCCCTTAACATCTGAGTCACTACTGAAGGCATAGCATAAATGATAGTGGGTGTCTGAGGGTGTTTTACTGAGAAATGTCAAACACATTCAAAACCTTACATTTGAAAACAGGTTTGCATTCCTTCTCTTAAAATGACGTTATCATTGGAAACAATAAAAGCTAATTGTTTTGATGTAGAATCTATCAATTGAATCGTTAGAGCAGAACAGAATGGTCGTATTGTAGCCTGAGTACCGTGCAGCCTTCAGTTTCACCAGGTGGAAACATTGTCCATATAATGTGAATACATGTAGAACTAGACATTCAG